CGGTTCCCCCCCCCCCCCCCCTATCCTTGTAAGGTTCTATGGCCTCGCCATCGGCTTCGTCGTCTTGGCTGGTGGCCATGCTGTCGGGCGCATCTCTGGCGCTGCTCTGAACCCGGCAGTCTCGGTGGCTTTGGGCCTCGGCAGCGGCAAGGATCCGCATTGGGCCCTGGTTTGGTTTGCTGCCGAGCTCGCTGGTGCCGCCTTGGCAGCTGGAGTCTACCGCATACTACGGCCGGAGTTCGGGAAGTCCGGGGAATCCCCAGACCTGAAGACACGCTGCCTGGCTGAGGCATTCGGGACCTTCATGTTGGTTGTGACGGTTGGTCTGAACATCGTCAGTGGCTCCCGTGCCACGGCATATTCTGCTGCAGCTGCCCTCATGTGCATGATCTACTCCCTCGGAAACGTGTCTGGGGCGCACTTCAATCCAGCGGTCACTCTCGCAGTGCTGGCAGGTGGCCGTGAGAGAATTTCCCGACGGGACGCAGGAGCTTACATCGTGGCCCAGGTTGTTGGCGGGCTACTCGCAGGATTGGTCTACGCTGCCTACCACATCGGCTCGGCAGTTGCTGACAAGTCGATCAAATTGGTTCCGGGAAGGGATTTCGACATGGCACAGGCATGCATTGCGGAACTGATCACCACCACGTTTCTCGGCTATGTCGTCCTTTGCATCGCGACCGTGAGGGAGCCCTACGCCAAAGACCTTTTCGGGCTCGTCGTTGCTTCAGCCGTCACTGGCGGCAGCTTTGCCGTAGGTTCGGTCTCCGGAGGTGAGCTCAATCCCTCCGTGACCCTGGGCCTCATGATCGGAAATGTGGCTTAGTAGCTACATAAGTATATACCTTTTCTGTTCTTGGGGGATACTTCTACCCCCCCCCCCCCTTATACCAGTTTGGGGCTTGTGAACTCAGCAACTAAGGTGGTGAACCCTGGTAAGGGGGGCATCGGTCCTCCCGGAAGCTGGTTGGCCTTCATCATCTCGGAGCTGGCCGGTGGCCTCCTGGCAGCTGGGCTTTTCCGACTGACGCACCGCAAGGAGCCCCTGGGTGACACTTCGGGGATGTGTTTTTCTTAATTTCCTTGTAGGGGATTCCGATAAAAGTATGCCCTATTCTTTAAGGGCAAGGGCCCCAAAACTACAACCGAGGTTCCTTGAAGAAACCGGCGGCGATGACAAGGATGATGGTGTGAAAGGCTTGGAAAAGGACGCCACTGAGGAGGCCAAGGATGTGGAAGCTGCGTGAACGCTGGCAGCGGCCGTGACATGGTCGACTCTGCCAGAATAATGCGGACGCTGAAGAAAAGACAAGGTTCACCGGCAGGTCATCAACGTTATCGGAATCTGCTTGATAGCTCTGGTATCGCGAAGCTCTTTTTTCTATCAGTCCTACCTTACAAAGCCGTAGTGAAATTCCTGAACCCTAACCCCTAAACCCCTAAACCCCTAAACCCTAAACCCTAAACCCCTAAACCCTAAACCCCCTAGACCCTAAACCCCACTCCTCCTGCAAAAAAGCCACCCTTTTCGGTCGCGGTCCGAAGACTCCGCAGGCGAGCCACGCCCCAGGGAGCTCTTGTTTTGCACTCTGGCCACTCGGCTGCCATGAGGGTTTTGGGTTTAGTTCTCTAAATTTAGGGTCCCCTTTTTTAAGAGTTCCTTAAAGGGGTCTATAAGAGTACTATCATGTACTATATGGGTAGTTTAGAGAATTAGGGTTCCTTCAGGGGATCTATATATGGGTAGTTCTTTAAATTAGGGTTCCTTAAGGGGGTTCCTTAAAGGGATCTATAACGGTTTCTACCATGACCATCAAAATCCGCATGAAGGTTTAGGGTTTAGGGAGGGTAACAACAATAGGCGGCCATGGAAATCCGCAGGAAGGTTTCAGATGTCGGAACAACAACATCTTAGGGTTTCGGGCTTTCGGGTTTAGGGTTTAGGGTTTGGGGGCTTACACTTGTAAGATAATGATTTTGAAGGGGTTGCATGCCATAGTCCTACACTCTACGCCCCGAGCCCGGAACCTGTACCGGGCCCTTTGCTCCCAAGAGAGTTGCTGATCCCCAGGACTTGGTGCGCATGGATTGGCAAAAAGACTACCAGGCTTGAAACCTGGGGCGACTGGGGCCCTGTAGCTGGAGGAACCCTTATACCAGAGCTCCTTGATTTGCAGCAGCCCCTTATGGCAATCTTTACGGAAAGCCTTGAGGGAATCCCTTAAAGGAGCGCTTAACGCCCAGACCGTCGTAGCCTCTTTCAGTGGCCCAAGTACTTCGTTGCAGTGGTGCGGCCTCGTTGCACTCCGTCGGCTTCTTTTCTATTCCGTTTGTGTTTCATGCTCGGCTAGCGTCATCGTGTGGCTAGTGCAGTGTCACGTGCTGGTGCTGGTACAGATGGAGCTGTTTCCTTCATGTTGCTCTTGAGAACCAAACCCAGAATGAACAAGACTCCTGCATGTACTTGGCATACTACAAGTACATCCGGATACTTCCCTGCTTGCAGACGATGATTCATAGCAGGACCTAGCCGTACCCCTTCTTTAGCTGTAAACTCTAAGCTCTGAACCTTGTTACCTGCTGCAGGCCGAGACACTGAAATTGGCGATATCGGGCGCACAGGCCTGGGAAAATCAGCGTACCAGAAGCCGGGTGAAAGGTGTTTTTTTTGGGTTGAAGGGGTCGAAGGGTTTGAGGATTCAATCGACCACAAACTCGCCATTTGTGGCGTCCGACTGCGCCGGGATGAAGTTGGTCCTAGTGGGTTCGTGAGGTCGACTGCCAGCTCCCCGGGCGGACCGATGGCGAGGCCGGGTTTGGGGGTCGGTAGACTGTTCTCGACCTCAAAAAGTCGAAGACACGCTGAGTGCTGTACATTGCCTGCTTTGTCCGAGTGCGAGCTCCAGAAACAGGGACCCGTACAACTCTTCTTCCTGGCTCAAGCCGTTTTCCTTTGAAAGACCCCGCCGTTTTCTTCCTCTTCCAGAAGGGTCTGCTGGGCCATGCGGCGAAGTTCATTGGGGAAGTCGGGGGCCTTGGCCCTGTTACTGGGCCTTTGCTATCTGGCCCTTGATGCCCTGAGCTGCTTTGTGGGAGCCGGTTTGACCAACAACCGGTCCTCCTCAGTTGAGATGAGGGGATACCGGCTGGACAGGATGCTGGAAGCCACGGATGGCGACCGATCCTTGCAGACCTCGGAAGGCTTCTGGATCGGGGAGAAAGGCTTCGAGAAGTCGCAGTGGGCGCAAGGCTACCGCTACCGCATGCGAGCCTCTCCGGAGGAGTTCAAGAAGGGCATCGATTGTCCCGCTCCGCTCCAGATCGGCCCCATCAAGTGGAAGGTCGGCGAGTGCTTCGGTGGCAGCGGCAACAACGACAAGCTGCGCCAGCTCAAGAAAGAGTTGGCCCAGGCCGGTTTGGATGATCCCAAGAAGCTCGCAGAGAACGAGTACTGGCTCAAGCGCTACGGCCGCAAGCGCTGGTACCCCAAGTATGTGAACCAGTCCGGTGCCAAGAATCAGCAGGGCCTCTTGCGTGGCTTAGCAGCCTGGTCCGGCTACGACCCCCTGAATGAGGAGCGTGGCAAGACCTGGATCGAGGCGGATTACGGAAAGCCCCTTATCGAGGGCAAGAAGGACTACCGCCTGCCGGGCCTCCTCACCAAGGAGCAAATGCAAAAAGAGCTTCTTAGTTCTCCAATACCCAACCTTCAAACTTGCTGGGTTCTTATAATGTAGTAGTAATCTGAAAGTTTAACCTTTTATTTTCCTGGCTTATTGGGGAAGTAAGGCTTGACAGCGGCAAGCTGCCCAAGCCTGCAGCCTGAGATTCACGGATCCCTTGCGGTGATTTTTTGAGGAGCTGGCCTTACGATAGGGCTGCGTACCCAAGGGCTCCTATGTAGTTCCTTTTTGGATAGTATACTATAATTCCTTACAAAACAACATAACAAACCCCAAAAAGGAACTACATTGGAGCCTCTGCATATGCAGCCGAGTGGCAGTTGCATTCGCAGCGCCGCAGTCGGTTAAAGTACACGTGTGAGTATGTCATCAGCATACTTCTCCATAACCTATGTAACGCAGCACAAAGGTTCTGCTCCAGCCTACTTGAGACTTTTATCCTCATCGTTTCCAGCAGCGCAGTTGGGTGCATATCTGTTCTGGATATCGGGAGGCCCACATCTGCCCGTACATTCAGGTAAGTATAAACATCTGTTTGTGTGTGTGTATATATACATACATACATTCTGTAGGCCCTAGAGGCTCGGCTTCTTGCTACAAGGATCCTTGTAGGTTTAAGGCATTTGGGGCCTCCTGATAAGTTCGTTCATTTTTTCTGACAAAGGCCTTTTGTGACTCGCGACAATTGGCTTGTAGATGCTGTGTGATTGTGGGACCGCTCTGAGACCTCGCCTGGCTAGAGAGAGAGCGAGTGCCGAAAGCCGCGTAACTGCCTCCTGTACCGGCTGCATGTGATGACGCTTGAGCCCGAGCTTTTGAAACGCGAGTTCTAAAATGCTCAACTTCGAACTATTCCAGGCCGCCCACCGGGGCGACGCTACGCTGGGAAGGCAGCTGGAGGAGTCGCTTTCGTCTCAGAAGGGGGAATCAAGCTGTAATATGGAAGACTGGATTTTGTAATTATCAATACTATTCCTTAGGGCTCCTTGTCCTTAGTATCACTACATACATATCTATATATATATATATATATATATATATATATTTACATACTCTCTACCACAGGAGCCCAAAACTCTGCTTACATGAGGGTTTTGGATTTGGGCTTGGGGTTTCCTGCTGTTTCCTCTTATGCCTCATAAGCCCCTCCAATAGCACCCTCTACATACGCCCTAAACCCTACACCCTATACCCCCTAAACCCTCAACCCTAAACCCCCGACGCCCTAAACCCCGAACCCTACACCCCGAACCCTACACCCTAAACCCCCTACACCCGAAACCCTAAACCCCCTACACCCGAAACTCTATGAACCTAAAAGCCTCCCATACAAGTACTTCCAAGGTTCCGCGTTTGTTTTGGACTAGCCTCAGCTTGAAAGTTCCCAAATCGTGACGAGCAGGCACTTGCAAAGCCTTTATTAATAGTTCTTTTTTTTATAGGCGTCTTAATAATTAGAATGGGGTTTTGCGGTTCCTTATTATCATTATAATGTAATAATATACCCCCAAGCCCTATTCTAATTCTTAAGGCCCCTATATTACCAACACTGCTCTTCGGGTGCCTTATTCTACTATAAAGGAGCGCAGAGATCCATTGGAGCTATCAATTGCAAGGCCCTCACATGATGACAGCGGCTTTCTACGCGGCTGTGGGAGGGGGGCGCTGCACCTGCAGTGATGTTTTGAAAGCCAGCATTTGGCAATGCCTGACGAGTGCTCCGACGAGCTCCTAGGAAACCATGGCATGTCTAAATTTAGGAGATACTTGTACCTAGACCCTCCATCTACCTTCTTTGAGACTAAATACCTATCTTTTGGGACCATATACGCCCCACTTGAGTGTAGTATAGGGGCCTTAATAATTCGAATAGGGTTTGCATGGGGTATATTCTATTATATGTCGAATGAAGACCCCCAAAAAAACAAAACCTATTCTAATCATTAAGGCCCTCTACATCACAAGGAGGGTCCTGGTAGTTCATGAATCTGCTCAGGGTGGCCCGGCTAGGGGTTTGTGGCTTCTCAGAGCTCTGCAACTTTTCCCCTCTTATTTCCAGGGTTCCTTTCAGAGTTTAGGGTTTAGGGTTTAGGTAGGCCTGTTGCAGAAAGGGTTTAGGTAGGGTTTAGGGCACTGCTAGGTACTGTACTGATCTCGACAGTCGCAGCAGTAGGCATGGTGTCAAAGGTTTACGGACAGAAGTGGCCGCAGCAAAGGTAAAGTACTGCAGCCCCGAATAACGAGAAAGGCTTCATTGGATTGTGGAGGCATCGTGAACAAAATACCGCAGGATCATGCACAAGAGTTGGTTGAATCAACAGCCTGTTTGAGAAGAGGAGTGTCCTGCCGTGGTTGTCGCCAACCGAGGAGAGGGTGACAAGGCATTTGGATTTTGTGGGTATTCCGTTTAGGCCTCGGATCTCGTTAGGAAGTAGTTTGTTTGCATTACAATAGTAGTCCCTTGCGAAGTGATGGCATAATTTCATTCCCCCCGTCCTCTGCGTACATGTTGACTGAACCTCAAGCAACCCATAGGCCCCATAGTAGTTCCTTTTTAGGATTACCTTATAAGGTTCTGAATACGAACCCCAAAAAGGAAATACTATGGGGCCTCTTGCAAAAGCATTTAGGAGTTTAGGTTTTCGGGTTCGGGATCCTTTTTTCTCAACTGCGTCGTGTTGATCGCCGACTGTCTGACGTAACGTGCCTCAGGCTTCAACAGCGTTTTTCCAACAACCGCAGGATGCTGAGTGTTTGTCGGACTTTCATGTTTTTTGAGCTTGTACCTAAACCCCAAAGAACCTACCTTTTTAAGGACCTCTATAAAGAAACAATGATAAGGAACCCTCAAGAGTAGGTTACTTGGGGTCCAGGTAGGCAAGGGGTTTGAGTAGGTACATTCTAGTCATCCCCAAGGTTCTCATGATCCTTGTGGCTATCTGTATCCGACAGCTTGAAACTCAATCTCTGAAAATCCGACGGTTTGGGGTTTAGGGTTAGAGCGAGTGTGCTGGGGACCGGGCTGCTGTGTACGAGGCCTGCTGTAAAAAGGGTTTAGGGTTTCTGGTTCCTTGTTGGATACATCTGTTTCACTTTTTTGTTATAAGAAAACCCAATAAGGCTTAAAATGGATTACTTTTGATATAGCCCCAACAGGGAACCAGGTTTAGGGCTTAGGCTACACCCTGAAAGGGAACTCCAGAAGGTTGGAACATGGAATCTGAGAACTGCGTCGGAGAACCCTCCAAGCTTCTTGTCAAGGGCATCAGGGTTTAGGGTTTAGGGTTTAGGGTTTAAAGGAGGATATCCCTGAACCATAGGCCCTTGCTGGCTCTCCGCCAGGCCTTCTTAGTTCTGGAGCTGAAGCGCAGTAATTCATCGTCGGGAGACTATCTGCTCCCCTTCGTGCCCCTTGGCCGGATCGTGAGAAATTCTAGACCCTAAACCCTTAACCCTAAACCCTAAACCCTAAACCCTAAACCGGCCTTGAGGTATTCACATGCCTTCTCCAGGGCTGGGACATTGAGGGTTTGGCGGTTCTCTCTGCTTCCCTTCACCTCTGGGTTCATAGAACATCGTAGGGTTTAGGGTTTAGGGTTTGTGAGAGTGTGAGCTGAAGCATCCGAATGTTGAGGCAAACTTGGGCCATGCGAACCTTTGAGGATCTCGCGCTCGTATCATAGTACATCGGGCATTGCCTTACCCTAACCCCCCAGGTACCTGCTATATAGGGTACTAGAGCCCCTAGCCCTAGGGCCCTATATAGTAGGTACCTGGAGGGTTAGGGTTACATTATGTGTTGACGTTGAGGCTCTAGGCCGCCAAAAGCCTGTCACAGGGCACCATGAGGGTAGTTCTCTAAATTATGGTCCCTTTTTAGGTTCCCAAAATATAGTATGGCACCCTTATAAAATGGACCCTAAAAGGGAACCTAATTTAGAGAGCCATGAACTTGCTTCTTGCTTTCCTCGTCGTGGCTCTCTGCATGACTGCCTGAACACAATGCCTGAAGCCAGAGACCCTGACCGGGCCTGTAATGCGTTGTAGTTGAGAGAGCCATGAGCTTTGGTTGTTGCGCAGCGCTCTGGCCCGTAAACGAGAAGAAAAAGGACAATGACCTCAACGGGCTCTTGCAGATGCACGTCCGTCGCCAGCTGTCGAAGGGGGTGGCCGGAACTCGCCTTGTGGAATCGATCGCGGACGCCGTAACTGAGATCCGCGAAAGGGAACGTGCGCCAGGTCCAGATGCGGAGGCGGAGGTGTCTAACAAATCGAATGGGTTAGGGATCGTCAGCACGGACTTTTCGAAGCTTCGGGCTCGAGGCTGCGTGGGCGGCTCTGAGTTTGCCATGGGCATGGTGAGGATTGACCTCGTCGAGCACCCGGATGGACAGCTGTGTGCATGGAAGACCGTGTCGAAAGCAAAGCTAGTCGATGAGTTCAAAAGAGTCAATTGCGTGGTAGAGGAGCGCCTCGTGCTTGCCACCACATCAGCTTGCCCGTCCCCTTTCATCATCGGTTACCACGGTTGCTGTCAGACACCGAGATACATCCGTTTCCAGATGGACGGGATTGGTGCGAGCCTGCATTATGTCTACCAGCACCGCGAGCTCTACGGCAGCGAAGCGCATGCGAGGTACTACGTGGCCAGCGTGGTTCGTGCTCTGCAGCATTTGCACAGCTTGCAGATCGTCTTAAGATACCTAAAGCCGGAGAATTGCTTCCTCAATTACCAAGGCCAGCTCAAGCTCTTTGACTATTATGAATATAATATATATATATATATAAGATATATTACAGTAAATCATGTTATAGTATAGTATAGGCCAGCTCAAGCTCTTTGACTTCTCCTTCTCCAAGCTCATCGTCAATAAGACCTGGACTTCTTGTGGCACACCGGACTATATGGCACCCGAGGTCGTCAGAGCCCTGGGCCACACCTTCGATTACGACTGGTGGATTGTCGGCATCTTGACATACGAGCTTTTTGCAGAGGTCGCGCCCTTCTATCATGAGGAAGGTTTGCTGCACACCTACGATAGGATCCAGAAATGTCAGTTCACCATCCCAAAATCTGTGCCCACATCAGCAAAGCATCTTATCCGCCAGCTCTTGGTGAAGGACCCTTCGAAAAGAGCTCCGGGCGGCGCGGAGACGCTCGCTGAGCACAGCTTCTTCCTGCCCGTGTCTGGGCCCAATGGGTCGTGGGACAGCCTGCAGCAGATGGTGCCGCCCATTACGCCATCCTTTGAAAACGGTCCTTTCTCCAACATCCAGAAAGCCGACAAAGAGGAGATAAAAGAGCTCTGGGGTGTGAAGCCACCGGCAGAAGAGGACCTGTTCCCCATGCGGGCTGAGTGGGAGCAGTTCGGGCCAGCGGGGCCCGGCGATGAGTTTCCCTGAACCCGAATCGCGAAGCGCTGGGTTGAGAGGTTGTGTAGTTTCACTTCTTGGATTTAGAGTTGGGTCCAAGGATTAGTGACGGTTTGATTGGGGAAAGGTGTTGTCAGCCTCGTGACCCAAGTCTTTTCCCGAAGCCAGTTCGTTCTGTGGGAACTTGGGTGCTGACAGGGTCAAATGATAGACGGCTGACATAAAGTTGATTAAGCCTTGTAGCAACCTGGATTAGAGCTGGCGCAGTGGTTTGTCTGAATTCGTGTTGTTGCTATGCGAATCTGCCTGTTCACCCTCGACCCAACCCACAACGTTCCACGGTGTCTTGCATGCGCGGCGGCGCGGCAACGAGCAGCGCGAATTTGCAGAGTGGACGGAGTCAATACCCATCGGCCCCAAAGTAGTTCCTTTTCGGGGTTCATAATGATATAGAATCCTCTAAGGTAACCCCAAAAAGGAACTGCTATGGGGCCTATGACTGGCAGACCAGGGCTTGCTTTTCAGGGCCGGAAGGAGTGTGACCAGGAACGTGAGGGTGGCAAGAACCCTTCAACCTCAACTCCTCCGCCTAGTCTAAACCCTATAAACCCGAAACCCTAAACCGTAAACCCGAAACCCTAAACCCTAAACCCCTAAACCCGAAACGCTAACCCGAGAAAATTGAAGCTTGGAGATCCTGAAGCCATACTCCTTGTTCAGTGGCGTCCAAGCAGCAGGCTGTTACCTGCAGTGTTTAGGGTGGGTTCTTGCTAAGGATATAAGGAAACCATATTATTTACTTTAGATCCTTATTATATTATTAAGTTACCATAATAAGGGAACTTTATGATTTACTTGAGATCCTTATTATGGTAATTCTATGAGCCTGAGGAAGGTCGCGATGGATTCCATCGACTTGACAATTGACGATGCCTGGCTGGACCCGCTGCAGGCAGGAAGTTTGTTCACCGTGTTTCATTGGTTTAGGGTTCAGGGTTTAGGGGTTTTTAGGGTTTAGGGTTTAGGGTATTTATTACCCATAGGCCCCATAGTAGTTCCGTTTTGGGATGACCTTATAGGATTCTAAATACGAACCCCAACAAGGAACTACTATGGGGGCTATAGGTAATGAGGCAAAAGGGGTTTAGGGGTGCTTGGGTGTTCAGCCCTCATGACAAAAGCAGGGCTTACGGCTTTTCGGGGCACTGCAGGGCTTGATCCTTGTAGGGTTTAGGGTTTAGGGTTTAGGTTGTAGGCTCGGGGTTTATTGAACTGTCCGAAACCCAGGTTAGGTTTACGGGTCTATCCCATACACAGTGAAGGCCAGAGAGCCGCAAAAGCCCAGTATGTGGACACTGAGCCAGCCAGTTGAATCTGCTATAAACCGGATCAGATCAGGATTTAAGGTTGGTAACTAGTAGGTAGACCCTAAACCCTAAACCCAAAACCCAAAACCCTAAACCCTAGCTAGTTGGGAGACGAAAAACCCCAAAAACCTCAACCCTCAACCCTGGAGCATTCTTGCATTCTCAACGGTGACGGCGACGGACCACATGTCCAACAGCCTCCTGCATCCGGACTTGTGACTTCCGATTTGCGGCAAAGGCTTATAAAACTTACCTTCTAATGTACGGGCCTAAATAATTACCTACATTATTTTGGGGGTCACTTATTCTAAGTATAGTATAATGGGCCCCAAAACCCTATTCTAATTATTCGGACCCGGTCGGAAGGGTGGGAATTTAAATGCTATGGCATTCCCTTCGACTCCCGAAGAGCATTATGGTTTAATCCAGCTCGAAACCCCAATTCCACGGACTAAGGCCCCTTGACAACACTCCCCCGAGGCTCATCGGTCTGTCGTGATCATCTTATTGAGTAGTTCTCTAAATTAGGGTCCCTTTTAGGGTCCGTTTTTTTAGGGTGCCGTACTATATTGGGACCTAAAAAAGGGGCCCTAATTTAGAAAACTACCCTTATGTATCAACCCGCAGCCCTGGACCCACTCGAAACCCCAAACCCTAAACTCGAAACCCGAAACCCGCTACCCTAAACCCGAAAATGTGGCTTCAGGTTAAGATTCAGGTCTTGAGCCCAAAGCCTCCCAGGGCTTTGGGCTTATGTCATACGAACCCCAAACCCCTAAACCACACATCCGGAACCCCCTCTAAGAATCCTCGCCCTGGAAGCCTGCGAACTGTCCTGAATGATGCTTGAGGCTCAAGAAGATGAAGTAAGTGTCACGACCCATAGGCCCCATAGTAGTTCCTTTTTAGGATGACCTTATAGGATTCTAAATATGAACCCAAAAAGGAACTGCCATGGGGCCTATGGGTAGAGAGCGTCCGTCTTCCTTTCATGCTCCTAGAAGTGAACCGACTCTGAGACTCTCTGCTTGCTGCTTGCGATGCGGATGCCCAAGCCCAAAATCCTTAAAGCCTGGATCCCAAAATCCTTAAAGCCTTATAATCCCAAACCCACAAACCTCAAAGCCTTGATCCCCAAAATCCTTAAAGCCTTGATCCCAACATCCTTAAAGCCTTAATCCCAAAAATCCTGGTACTTGGAGGTTCATGGGTAGTTATAAGTGGGGTTATAAGTCCCCGAATATGGCTTCTAACTATAGTTACCCTACTTATAACCCCACTTTATAACTACCCATGAACCTCCAAGGAAACAAACCCAAACCAAAATCCTTAAAGCCCTTAATCCCAAAATCCTTCAAGCCTTAATCCGCAAAACCTGGTAAACAAAATCCAAACCCTGAACCCTGAACCCTAAGCCCAACACTTGACCCGTGTTCCAGTCCTGGGCGGATCAGCTTCGCAGTGGCGCGTCCCTTCGTCGAGGCACTGGGGAAACGGACAGAGGGATCCCAGAATCTGGGTTCCACGGTTTAGGGTTTAGGGTTCTGCACAGTCGGCGCCTCGGTTCCTGGCATCTGCGTAGTCCAGGTGTAAAAGGGTTCTGACTTGAGAAGTCTAAACCTTGAACCAAAAAAAGGGCCCTTCAAATTGAACGTATGTTTGCAATCCAGGGTCTATTCTGGGGAATTGAATTGCCCGCTTAGTAACAGTTAAACCCTAAAGCCTAAACCCCTCAACCCTAAACCCTAAACCCCCCACAACCCTAAACTCTAAAAGCCCTAAACCCCTCAACCCTAAACCCTAAACCCTAAAAGCCCTAAACCCCTCAACCCTAAACCCTAAACCCTAAAAGCCCTAAACCCCATCCCCGGGATTCCTTTCCGGCTCCTGGGTTGCCTTGAACGGTTCGTGAGGGTTCCCGCAACAAGTGGTTTGTCATTAGGGTTTAGGGCTTATAGGGTTTAGGGTTTAGGGTTTAGGGTTTGTCATTCGGCTTTAGGGTTTATAGGGTTTA